CATCACTCTCCCACCCTTTGGGCTCCCCAAGGCCAAAGGTTTCTCTCATACCCCCTTTATTCATGAACTCTAGAATCCACTGACATTTAGGACTCACTACTCCCAGCCAGCAATCAGTTTGTACTGCCTGTCTCTGAGTTTCAGCTCATTTTTGGCAAGATCTGCACACCCGCACTCCTTGGTGGTCTTGGAGCTGTAAGATGGGACTGCCCGTTTCAGACTGAGCCTTACATGGTCCTAAACCCCTGGCGTGGCTCTCAGCACCATCAGCCAAGAGCTTAGATAGACAACTCTTCAGACAGAGTTTGGTACTAAAAACTGGCTCCCGTAATCTAAATTCACAGGAAGATGACTTGGTCCCGAAAGCCAATGAGTTAGCCAGGCACAGTGGCACACACTGTAATCCAAGCAACTCGGAGGCTAGGCAGGAGGATCACAAGTTCAAGGCCAACTTCAGCAACTTATAGGCCCTGTCTCAAAATGAAAAATTTTTTTTAAAAGAGGGGGGTATGAGGATGTAGGTCAGTGATAGAGCACCCTGGGTTCAATCCCCAGTCCCCTCCCCCCCCAAAAAAAAAGACAGTGAGTTAAGTTTCAGTGGGAAATGTGTCATTCCAGTGATGAGAAAAGGTGTTTCCATGATCCATATTGACCTGAAGTGCTGATCAGAAAGTACACAGTGAATCAGAAAGTACACAGTAAATGTGTACCTTCAGGAGAGAGGGTGTTGTCTTGTGATGAAGGATTCTCAACTACACAAGAAGACAAATCCCCAAGCAGACTTGGCCAACTCTCTCTTACTTTGCAGTTCTCAGGCAGACTATACGAAGAATACAGCATCTAAGATAATGAGGAAATAGAACATCCTGGACTTTGTTCTTTTCCCTCCCATACCAGGATATTTTTTAATGCTTGGCTTAACCATCTTAAGTGTCCCCTAGAGCATAAAATCCAGAGCAGAGTGCATAAAGGCCAGCTGCAGTGTGAAGAGGGCTTCCATCCACCTTTCTGAGCCTTGGGATTCTAAGCTTTTGTTGGTCCTTGCTGCCTGTAATAAAGTTGCTTTACTTGACCTGTGTCATTATTGTCTTACTGAGCCCCGCTAGATCTAGAAAACTTCTGAACCCAAGCACAGCACTCTGCTTTATAAAGACCTAGCAGGTGCTGATGAACACCTGGTCCCTACACTGCAGCACAGTGTCTAGAAAGTCATGTCTGTCAGAAAGTGTGGCTTTTCTTCAGGACAATAACAGAGCCCTATAGATTCTTAACTCAGCCCTCTTCATTTTAACTTGGGGAGCTTAGATCTCTTTCCTTTTTTTTTTTTTTTTAATCGTTCCATAAGATTTTCAACATATTTTCATTCTTTTCTAAATATGCAATCAATGTTACATCATGTACTGACCAATAAGGATCTTCCAATGACACCAATGCTCCCATGCTTCCCTGGTATTTTAGTCAACTTTTTCACTGCTGTGACCAAAAGACCTGACCAGAACAATTAGAAGAGGAAAAGTTTATTTGAGGGTTCACAGTTTCAGAGGTCTTAGTCCATAGATGGCTAACTCCATTCCTCAATGCCAAGGTGAGGCAAAACAACATGGTGGAAGAATGTGGTGGAGGACAGCAGATCAAGACATCACACTAGAAAGGAGAGAGAGAGAGAGAGAGAGAGAGAGAGAGAGAGAGAGAGAGAGAGAGAGAGAGAGAGACTGACTCCACTTGCCACATCCAAAATATATACCCCAAAGGCACATCCCCAATGCCCACCTCCTTCAGTCACACCCTACCAGCCTGCAGTTCCCACTCAGTTAACCCCTATTAGGGGATTAATTCACTGATTGGGTTAAGGCTCTCATCAACCAACTATTTCACCTCTAAACCTTCTTTCACTGTCTCACCTATGAGTTTTGGAGCAACACCTTTTATCTAAACCATAACACCTGACCTTTCTTTTGCACTGACCCCAAGATTTCATCCCCTCCCCCTGTTCTTTTGGAATTAATGCTCTTGGACTTCCACTCAAGGGCCTCTTTGTAAATTCTGACAGCCAGTAGATTCTGCTCCAGGACCTCCACAGATTTGGGACAGGGACCTGCCCAACCTCTTGGCTAAATTGTTGTAGTGTTATTTTCCCTTCTTTTAATTTCATTGGCTTTCAGGGTAAATGCAGAGCAATTCTGAACACTGCCCCTTTCTCCATTCAAGCCACACCAACGGCCCCAGCTCTGGGATAACTCTCCTGACCTGTGGTCAGTCGTGCATCTGCCTCTGCTATACAGTCAACCTAGTCTTCCTGTTTTGGCTAGTCTGCAAAAAACTAACCATCAACTATGAAAACTTTTATACCACCTTTATCAACTTTGGCAAAGGGAAACCTGGACTTTGAAAGCTATCTGGCAGGGTTGACTGACCAAAGAATTTCAAAGACTAGTCTATCCAGTTGTGTCAAAGTCGATGGTGCACTTTAGACCCACAACTAATATTTCTTTATTCAATACATTTTAAGTTGCTGTGCTCAAATAGGCAAGACCTGGAATCTGATCTGTAGTTCTTTTCCTGGGGCATCCAGAAAACTTTCCAGCTCAGTGAACTATATACGAATGGAAAGACAGTTTAATGTGGTCTAGGTATTGCAATCCCATTCTAACATTTGAAAGCGGCTTTCAAATATTTTGGCTCCTCAGTAAGAAATGCAAGTTCAAGGACAACCTGCTACACACGCGCACACACACACACACACACACACACACACACACACACACACACCTACATAGCTGAAACAGAATATCCTAAGAAAATGCTTGTGAAAATAATCTATTAGAAAATATTTCCAGAGCAAATACATGGGTGGGCGGGGTGCATGGGATTACAAAGGGACCAATTAGGGTACAATATCAAGCCAAGTCCCATAGAGGACAATCTTGACCCATTCTGACAGAGGGCTCGGAAGTCCTTGGAAGTCACACCTCAAAGTCAATCCAATAAGAAAACAAAAGAGGTGAAGTATGTATACCCCCACTGCCATCCATCACCAGTTAAGGGCTGTGGGGTAGGAAAGGGACATCAATTCCCAAGCCCTTTTGACTCTCCTGTAACTTCCATCAACATGTTGGCTTTGGGGAGGTTAGGGCACACTGGGATTCAGCTGATACACACAGAGATGGCAAAGGAATCTTAGGTGACATACAGAGGTACAGGTCCTGCTATAAGCACCCCAACCATAGGTGATAGACTATCATATTTTCTATTCTGTTTTTTTTTTAATTGCTGACTGTGGATTTTAATCACAGTCCAGGTACTTAGAGCTGTTATTTAACCTGCTTCAGCTCCTTCCTTCATTCCAAAAATGGAATAACAGTATCAACTTTGCTCATTGTAATGAAATCAGAAATAACATAAATATTCTTAGAAATTAGTAGGTGCTCAAATATTAAGATTAATAAATGTGTACTCAAAATGCCACACAAGAGTAGGACAAAAAGATATGTTTCCTCTTAATGACATTCAAAGTGCACATGCATACAAACACATGTGCTGCCATGTGGGTTCCCTGGCAGAAGCACAGTGGACGCCCCTCCCTCACTGCCTTTGCTCTTTATTCTCTGCATCTAATGCTGCTCATCATTGGAGCTTCATCTTTAATGTGCTTCTTTCATGAAGCTTTTGCAGACCACCCCAGCCAAAAATATTCTTCTTAACTCCAAATTGCCAGGCCCTTTTATTTTATTTTATGGTAATTTTACCACTTTCTTCTGCTTTTTTTTTTGCAATCTCTATTAAAATATGGACTTGGGAACAGACAGACAAATGAATGGCATGAAATGGAGTCCAGAATATGCTCAAATAATACAGGAATGATAAAGAAATCAGGGCAATAGAAATAGAAGTTTCAACATCTTTTTTTTTTTTTTTTTGGTAATAAGGATTGAACCCAGGGACACTTTACCACTAAACTACATCTCCAGTTCTCTTTATTTTATTTTATTTTTTATTTTGAGACAATCTCACTAAATTGCTCAGGTTAGCCTTGAACTTGAGATCCTCCTGCCTCAGCTCCCAAGCAGCTGGGATTATAGGCATGCACCACCACACCCAGCTATTTGATCATCTTTATAAAGAATTGTAAATTTTTTTTCACCCAGATTGTCAATAATTAAAATGTTTGGTGAAACTAGATGCCATGAAGGTTTAATAAAACAAACACCACCACATTGAATTAAACCTCAGGAAGGTTAGCTGACCTGGGGGAAGCATACAGCTTTTTGGGAGGGCAATTAGAAGTTTCTAACAAATTGTTAAAGACACACACCTCTTGCCCATTCCCCTGGGACTAGTACAAAGTTCTCCTAGCTATGTATACAAAGATACTATTGCAACATCCTAATGCCTATTGCAACATACCTATCATAGGTATTAAGGGGAAACTATGAACAACTGAAATGGACTTCAATAGAGAACTGATAACTGATAGTTCATCCAGATAATGAACAAAAGAGTAAGAATTATTAGGTGTGTAAACACCTAATCAGAGTTATACCAATTTAAGAAGCACACATGTGTGATCTCACACACACATGAATTGACTCAAGTTCATGTAAAAATGGTGAAAATCAAGTAAGGTCTATATTCCAGTTAACAGTATTGTACCAACATCTATTTCCTGGTCTTGACATTACACTACAGATCTCACCATTAAAAGTCGTCACTACTAGGGGCTGGGATTGTGGCTTAGCGGTAGAGTGCCCCCTAACATGGATTCCATCCTCAGTACCACATAAAAATAAACAAGCGAAATAAAGGTGTTGTGTCCAAGTACAACTAAAAAATAAAATATTTTTAAAAAATTGAAATGAGTAGCTAGAGCATATGTAACCAGAAGGACAAATCCACCCATTCCCTTCTCTCCTCAAGGATTTTCCCTTTGCAGAGATTAAAGAGAGTGTACAGTTCTGCTCAAGAATTTGATCTGGCTCGACAAAGAGAGTCCAGAAGCAGACTTCTTTGTCCTTGGGCAAAAGGCTTATTTATTTGTACCATAGGCCTCTTACACTGTTCTGAAAGCAGGAGATGGGAACTTTGCGTAATCAGTACGAATGTTACCTCCAGAGAGGACAGGCTGGCCGCCTCTAGGGAAATGGTTCTCTTTCTTAATGTGGGCTTAGATAGCATTGTCTCTGAGGATTACTGTTGGCTCTTGGAAAGGGTGTGTGTGTTCAGTTTGCCCAGAAATTTCTGGCAGGAAAATGGAATACTCCAGCAGGAGTGATGGGACATTTCCTTGTCTCATACTGGCAGAGACCTCCGTGAAAACACAAGTGCAGCTTCAGAACTGGACTCAAGATACTGTGCCTGCCTTAGACTGCCAAAGCCCACCCTGCCAATTTCTGCTAAAGCCCCTCATTGAATAACTCAAACTGGCAGGAACTGTAGTGACGGGGAATTATTGCTCAGAGTACCCTGAAGTTCTGAAAGTTTAGGGGGAAAGATGTGCTGGACACCCCATGTGCTAGGAATGGGGTTTTACACTGTAAAACTCCTGAAATAAGGAGACCAGTCCCCAGCAAAGCTGACACGTGGTGGTTGGAAGTAGGATTCCAAAGGGTCTATTTGGGATAACACCTGTGAAAGAAAAAGAGAAGATAGGATTAAAAAAGAGAAGTATTAGATGCAGTATGCATCTCTGGCAAACACCAGCCCCCACCCTGGGGTCTCCAAAGCAAAGACAACCTTCAGAGGAGCCCTGTGGTAGGCAGAAATGGCAAGGTCCCTGTAACTATCCAGCTCAGTGACTTGCTGGGGCCACCCTGAGAAAAGCATGACTTCCCTTCAAAAACTGAAGCAGAGCCAGGCATTGTGGCGCAAGCCTATAAACCCAGTCACTCCAGAGGCTGAGACAGGAGGATCACAAGTTCCAGGCCAGTCTTAGCAACTCAATGAGATCCTGAGACCCTGTCTCAAAATAAAAATAAAAAGGGCTGGGGATGTAGCACAGAGGTAAAGTGTCCCTAGAACAAAAAAAAAAAAAAAGAAAAAAGAAAGAAAGAAAGAAAGAAAAGAAAAAGACCAGAAGGAGTTAACAGCTGTAATCAGACCATAAATCTTCATGTCTGCCACAGGGACTACCTCTGAGGTCATTTTCACAATTTAAAAAAGTAAAATAAAGGAGGAGAGGAATTTGGTTGTGCCCGCAAGAGACCTAGTGGGAAGTTATATCAGGCAACCTATTGAAGTAGAGGGATATTTCCCTCTACATTATAATTTATTCTGCCCCAAAATCTTCAGTGAATTTCTTGTATTGTGAGGAATAAAGAAGACAACTGGGCAGGTGTGGCTATCCCATCTCATCCCCATCCTCAAGCCTGTATCTCAGTATCCATGTAGAAACCACTTAAGGACCATAATCCGGGAGTTCCCAGAAGTGACCAGCAGCAGCAGAGAGCACTGAGGCCCAAATTAAAGCAAGCTGCCTCTTGAAAATAAACTGGAAAACTGCAAGAGACCACCCCACTCCCAAATACAGATAACAAAAGCAATCTACAGCATGTGGGGAAAGAGAAACCCATGTCTGTTTATTAAGAACTTTCTCCCTGCCGCTGCATGGAGATCCTGAAGAGGACCCGTGCAAAGACTGGATGGCTGGTTTCTAAATGGTGTTCGTTAATAACTGCCTAAATACAGGGCAATTGAAAATTGAAAACCCAGACATTGAATAAGCTATACAACAGAGCTACAGAATTCTTGATAGAGCAATATCTCACAAAATTAATAGCCCATCACATTTAAATAGGCAGAGGCTGTGTCAGTCTCTGGAACCTACAGATTCGTTCAATTTTGGTTTTTGCTTTTTGTTTTTTTAAGTAAATTATCAACATTTAAAAACCAAATATTTTCTGTTAACATCCAGATTTCAAGGTTCTGTTTCAAAATCCAAATATCTGGCAATGCTGGGCCAGCATTCTCAATGACAAAGATGGGTGAAACAATTATGCCTCAAGCCTGCCTGTACACTGCAGTTCCGTAGGGCCACCAATCCTTATAGGTTCCCAGCCACTGAGCCCGGGGTATATTACCTTTTATTGCTAAACTTTAGCCACAACCAAAGTTTAAACCATAATGTATACTATGTGTAAGTGGGTAAGATAGCAGAGTAAATTCACTCTAGAAAAACAGATCCATAAAAACTGATTAAATCCTTTTGAAGTTAATTTGACCATAGCTATGGATTTAAAACATTTGACCCAAGTTGGCCATGGTAGCACTCACCTATAATCCCTGAGATCTGAGAACCTGATAGAGAGGATGGTAAGTTCAAGGTCAGCCTTAGAAATTTAGTAAGACTCTGTCTCAAAATGAAAAATAAAAGGGCTGGGAACCTAGATCAGTAGCAAAGCATCCTGGGTTCAATCCCCAGTACCTAAAAACATTTGACCCAGGGTACAAGTGTATTTATACCAAACATAAAATATAAACATATTCAAAGTTGTACATTGTAGAATTGTTTGAAATAGGAACACTGTAAGCCATTGAAATTTTCATCAGAATACTGGCTATTTCACTTGATGGAAACTGTACAGCTATTTTTTAAAGGGCAGAAAGAATGAAGTAAATCTATTATGTACCACTCAAACATTCCAAGAATATATTTTAAGATGTGAAAGAAAAGAAGGGGGAGGAAAGGGAGAAAGAAGAGAAGCAAGCAATTTGAAGAATAACATATTATGTATATTTTTCCTCTTAAAAATCATTCATGAGGGCTGGGGTTGTAACTCAGTGGTAGTGCTTGCTTGGCATATGTGAGGCACTGAGTTCAATTCTCAGCACTGTATATAAATAAATAAAAGTCCATTGACAACTAAAAAAAATCATTCATGAGAAAGATTTTTTAGAGGGGAAAAATGCATGTACATGTATAGGAAATGTTTAAAAGAATAAACAAGACCAAAAACTATGGGGGAAGCAGGTAAAGAAGCATAGGAAAGCCAGGCAGAGTGGCATAACCTGTAATCCCAGAGGCTTAGAGACTCAGACAGGAGGATTATGAGTTCAAGGCCAGCCTCAGCAACAGTGAGGCACTAAGCAACTCAGTGAGACCCTGTCTCTAAATAAAATTCAAAAAAGGGCTGGGGATGTGGCTTAGTGGTTAAGCACCCCTGGGTACCAATCTCTGGTACCAAAAAATAAAAAATTAAGTTCCCATTTCAAAGAGATACTTCTACACGTGCATATTTTCCCCCCAATCCCGATATCAACAAACCAAACTTGTTGAGCAGAATTTAGAGACCCACATTTCTTTCCTTCTTTCTATCCTTCTTGGTTCACAGATCCTCTCCCTAATGTCCCCTGTGCTCTTCCAAAAGAAATAGTCTTAGAAGCCAAAAAAAATCAATGATGCCCAGATAAGAAGTGGCCAGGTAATGCTCAGGGAGCAATTACCAGGCCAGAATTCTTTGCTCTTTGAACCTGGTCTACCTCCTCCACCCCAGGCCCCACGCTCACCCCCTGGATCTGACCATCCACCTCTAGGGAGGAAGGTAAAGAGGATCAGGTCTGCCTGCAGGCCTGTTGCTTTGAGCCAAGCCCTGAGAATTGCTGCAGTCCTGTGCATCCTTCTGCAGCCCCACACTCAGGTGCAGAGCTGGGAAGGGTTCCCACAGTGCATTAGCTCCTAAGAGTGAAGGGGAAAAGGAGTGTGGCACTATCCAGCCTCTGTCAATAATTCATGAGGCTCAGACTGAGGGGCGCCAGTCAGAGAGTCAGTTTTCCCCCCAACATGGGGAAAATTAGACTTAAGCTCTCTTATCTCATCCGGATATGCTGAGTACCACAATTGTAACTTCTCAGTTGAGAAATACACCATAAATCCAGTGCATGCCTCTTAAATCACTTGCTATCCATACGCCCCCTTTTGAACGCTGAAACCCTTTCTTGAGACATGCAGTTGACCTACAAATGTACTAAATGAGCCTTTAGCAAGTGTGAATCCTAATACAAAGTGATCCCCATAACTGGACTTCACAAATTGGGATTATCTTCCCTCTAATTGTAGGGACTGACATAAGGTTGACAAATTGTTGGTTGCACAAACTAACAACACTTTACTAAGTCTATCCATCTGTTTTCATCATCTTTTCTGAGAGAAAAGACTAACGGAAAGGAAAAAAGAAAGAGCAAAAGCACATTCCAGAATAAAGGACTATCTGTTAAGTTAAATATGTTTAGCTTTATGAAGCTCACTATATTGTCTTTATTTTTCTCATTTTGACTCAGACTAGTGAAAATATTGCCATGGACCAGCACTACTTCTCAGCCTGGCATTTGGAAGTCACTGGATTGAACTGATTCACACACTTGCACTGGGGTCTGTTGGGGCCTTTCTGTAGTGTACCATAAGCCAGCCAGATTTATTAATTCTCTCAGAAACCCAGGAGGGAGATCATTTCAACCCACTTGGCAGAAATGGAGGCTGAAGTCTTGAACATAGAATTTATAGCTGGTGAGGACTTTATTCATCATCTACTCCACATCCTTGTTTGCAGATGAAGAGTTTGGTCTGTGGCAGCAATAATAATTACTATGTGGTGGCAATAGTTACGATGTGTTTAGCAGTTTACAGTTCATAACGCGCCTTTGTATTCAGCAAATATTTTTTGAACTAGGATGGAGGCTAAGACCTGGGGACACCATGGAGATCTTGAGCACACTTGAGCTCTCTGTACTCCTACCACTGGTTGGGGGACCCTCTAGCATCCTTGTTACCACTTATTCTCTGTAACATGGAAAGTCCTCTTGGACAGAGCCAAGACTCTTATGGCGTTTGTCTCCTGGGCTCAACTCCGTGGGGGACCACAGGCATCATCTCCACAGCTGCTCTCAAAGCATTTGCCCTCCTCTGGGCTGTTGCCTACATAAACCCAGACTTTCTTGAAGGAGGAATTCCATTTTGAGGCTTTGCGAAAGAAAAAGAAATCAACCCCAAACGTCATCTCCCCCTTTACCCCAACGCTCCCTGCAAATAAATAAATAAATAAATAAACAAACAAACAAACAAACAAATAAAAAGACGTGAAAGGAGTGGTTGGACCGTGGGGAAGGCGACGGGTTCCTTGCAGCGGGGTAAGTCCTAATGGAAAAGCACTGAAAGCACTTTCCCGCTGGGCCTGGGGAGAGCCAAGGGGCAGAGAATAGGAGACTGCAGGACGCGGCGGCCGTGCGCCGGCAGGGGGCGCCCGCGGCCCGGGCCGCTCCTGGGTGGCGGGAGTCCCCACCGAGCAGGCTCCGGCAGGCAGGAGGAGGGAGTAGGCGAGCGGGAGGCGGCGCGTCCGGCCTCCTGCCCCTTGCCCTACTGAGCAGTCACCTCCCAGAGCAGAGTGAAACCAGCCGTGCAGACCTGGGCCATGCTGAAGGCAGGACTACTGCTAGGCGTCTCTGGTCGAGTTTGGAAATCTGTGAGGATGGTCAGCTCGGGGGTGACCCGCCGGAACCCGCTTGAGAATAAGGTGGCCCTCGTAACGGCTTCCACCGAAGGGTGAGTGCCGGGGCAGGATTCTCTGAGGCCTTAGCTGCCTGGAGCAGGTACTGGCCTCTTAGCAGTCCCTTCTCCTCAGGCCTCCCACGTGTCCAAAGCCCTGCCGGGAGGGTCGGGGAAGACCACGTGTTCAGCCTGAAGTCCTTCTGAATCCCCTGACCCTGGCCCCCCCCTGGCCCCTCCACTGCTGCCTCTGGCACAAGACTCGCTGTTGTCCCATTGATCCAGACCCCCAGCGCTCTGGGCTGCCCAATTAACAGCTCCACCTAGAATATGGGAAGACCAGAAACACAAGAGTTCAGATTTCAAAACTATTTCACTGTTTCCGTCCACCATGAAAATGTTCCAGATACCCATTTGGGCATCTGACAAGTCTCCCAGAGCACCCCCACCCCTTACCCAGATGGGACATAGAGCCATGTCGCCAGATTATTGTTTAGGTCAGTACATTTTGGCCCACCCTACCTATAGCCTGTGTCTTCTTACCCACTACTCTTATCCATCCTGTTTCTTTATCCCACAGGACTTTGCTAGATGCCAACTCCTCAAGAATCTGAAATACAGATGTATGTGAAACACTAATGGCTGGCAATTGTAAAATGTGTAACCCTTGCTTCCCAGGCCTACATTTAAATATTTAAATTTTTAGCCATCATTCCTCATGTACTCCAAAACATAACTAAGGATAGAATGTTTAAGAATGATGTAGTTGGCCCAGTGTGGTGGCATGTCCCTGTAATCCCACCTGTAATCTCAGAGACTGGGGAGGCTGAGGCAGGAGGATAGCAAGTTCAAAGCCAGCCTCAGCAACTTAGTGAGGCCCTAAGCAACTAAATATATTGTATTTTATTTAGAGATCCTGTCTCTAAATAAAATACAAAATAGGGCTGGGGATGTGGCTCAGTGGTTGAGTGCCCCTGAGTTAAATCCCCAGTACCCCCCCCCAAAAAAAAAGATGCCTCTAGTAAAGGAGATTTTGGAGGATAGGGTAGCTCTCCAGTAAGACCCTCAAAGCACAGACACAGCTGCTGCAGCAGCACACCAGCTTATTTCTCTCCCCTCAGTCTGCACTGGGTATGAGGCCTGTCAGCAGGGTGGGGCAGGAACTAAGGCTGTTCCTGGGAACCAAGGCTGAGGGACAAAATCATAATAAAACGAGCTAAGCATGTCCACCTGCATGGTATTGACAGTGCCATTAGGCCTATGTTACACCAAATAGAAACACCAAGGGTCAAGCACGGTGGCCCACACCTATAATCCCAGCAGCTCGGGAGGCTGAGGCAGGAGGATCGTGAGTTCAAAGTCATCCTCAGCCTCAGCAACTAAGTGAGGACCTAAGCAACTCAGTGAGACCCTGTCTCTAAATAAAATACAAAATAGGTGATGTGGCTCAGTGATGGAGTGCCCCTAAATTCAATCCCTGGTATTCCCCAAAAAAGAAGCATCAAGTCATATAAAGAGAGATCTGAAATCCAAACCCAAGCAGAGCCCATCCTTTCAGCTTCCTCCCCTGTACAGGCCTTAATAGTCTTTGTCTCTTTCTGCCCACAGGATTGGCCTAGCCATTGCCCGGCGCCTGGCCCAGGATGGGGCCCATGTGGTTATCAGCAGCCGGAAGCAGCAGAACGTGGACAAGGCTGTGAACATGCTGCAGGGGGAGGGGCTGAGCGTGACTGGCACCGTGTGCCATGTGGGGAAGGCCGAGGACCGGGAGCGGTTGGTGGCTATGGTGAGCAGCAGGGATATAGGCACCAAGCCAGGAGATGGCAGAAGGAAGCCAGGCTGAGCCTCCATTTGTGTTTTCCTAGCTAGTATTGGTGAGATCCAACATAGTGCTGTTAACATAACATTCATTTCATATGCCTGTACTGGTCCACTAACACATTTTATTGTGTGCCTTTCTGCTATGTCTATATCCTGAAGTCTGAGAACCATCCCATCCCAGAGAATCCAAAAACTACTCTAATGCTTCAACTCTGCCTCATCTCTTGGGTACTCCCCAAAAAATCCATTCGGCCTCATTGCCTAGTACTTTTCAATGTAATGGTACAGATGAGAAGGGCCAATATAAATATAATCACAAAATAAATGTTCTCACCCATGAACTAATAAACAATCCCCTGTTCTCCAATTTATAGAGTCTCTGGGAACTCATCAGAGGCAGCCTACCATGTTTCAGCTGTCTACTATGTACCATTTACTGTGTTCAAAACCTTACAACCTGACAACAACCCACTCAAGGGAAGAACTGTTCCTCCTGTTTACAGAGACTGATTCAGATAGGTGGAGCCACTTCCCAAGTTTCCACAGCCAGTAGAGAAAGAGTTGTGATTCAACCCTGACTTCCTTTTTTGGCTGCCTATGAACTATCAGCACTTCCTCATTGGCATAGGGCCAGGCTTTAGGTATCCATATGGACTTTAGTCTCAAAGAAAGTGCTAAGCCAAAGACAGGGTTGGTACTTGATGCCAGCCTTCCAGCTGCATAAGAAAATATGGACCATCAGGCTCCTCTCCCCTCAAGCCTTGGGGCACATGCTTTATTTCACAGAGTGAATGAGAGAACCTACAGGAAGGTACAGGATTGTACTAACAGACTGGAAGGTTAGCAGACATAATTTGGGTGATTTTCTTAGAAACGGAGAACCTTAAACTATAGTAGACAATAGTATGGTACACAGAACAAGGTAATTCGATTTTTAAGGAACAGTTTGGCAAATGTTCAAATGCTTTGCAAAGGGTCAAATGTGAATCTAAGAAGGTCACCTTGCTGGACATAGACTACTGGACAGAGCCTAACACTGGGGCCTTGATACTGAGGGTAGAGGAGACTGGGCCATTAATGAGCAACCATTTGAAATGTATATAGTTGGGGAGAGGGGGGTGTTTGTTTGTTTCTTTGTTGTTTTGTTTTGAAGTGTCAGGATTCGAACCCAGGGCCTCACACAATTTAAGAATTTTGTTTGTTTGTTTTTACAATATAATATTTTAATGTCAAAGTCCTGTTGGGAATACATCCTCTGGCACCCATCAAGTCCACTTAACAAATCCTTCAGCCCTGGCCCAGAAGTGGGGCTTGAGCTAGACCTTGATAAATGAGTGGGAGTAGACAGAGCAAGGATGGGGTGCCAGATGACCCTGCAAAAATGAGCAGACAGCCAAGAAGGGAATGAAAGGGATGGGGAACACTGTCAGTACACAGCAGAGAGCACAGGCTCAGGAGTACAGATTCCCAAGGGGGTTTAGATGTCAGTGTAGGAAATAAGAAACCATGTGAGGCTTTAAGCAAGATAAAAATGATTATTGAGGAAGGATAATCTGACAGTGGTGGGAGGAATAAATAGAGAAGACTCTGAGCCAAGGACATTAGTGGTGGTGGATCACCCAAGAGAACTTTAGTGGAACCAAACAATATTTTCCCAAACACATGTCAAGAAATAAGAAATAGGAGAGAAAAATCAAAACCAACTTTCTGGGAGTTTGCATGGATATTGTCAGGATAGAGAATGATAGGATAATTGTCAGCAATTTGAGATGTGTTCTGCCTGTTGCCAGCTGTTACCATGTGATGAGAAAAGCTGCTGCCCTGAGGATGGTTACTACTGGTGGCCTCCTAATTACACGGCAAAGCTCTTCAATGGTGTGCCGGTGAGCAGACACCAGATTAATAGTAGCTTCTCTGCTTGATTATACTTTTTCTAAAAAGAAAAATACCTGTCAAAATACAGACAATTCCTAGCCACTTTATAATAGTGATCACACAATGTAGAGCAAGACTTAGAAGACAACCCGATGGTCATAGGTAACATCCTCATTCATCTTTGCTGTTTCTGTCATTGTTCAATCAAAACCCAGCCTTCTCCCCCTCTCTGTGTTGACAGGCCTGGAACGGGAGGAAGGCAGGGTGCACAGCAGAGTGATTCTAGTGCAATCTACCATCCTCTCACCACCCCAGACAGGCACACACAAAGCACAGCACACATGCATCACTTAGCAACATCTGTGCTTTCCTTCTCACAGGTCCATACACAGAGTTGAGGCAGGTGACTGGGGCTTCAAGCCACAGCACCAAAATTTAGAGAATACAAGAAAGTATTGGTACTGGTTTTAAAAGATTATGTGACTAAATTTTGTTAAATCTCCATGTTGACAGCTCAAGCACTCCTTTAGCAGCAAAGAAACAACTAAGCTTAGCACCTAGTTAGCAAGAATAATTAGTTAAAAGGAGAAACTAGCAGATGGTGTACATTGTTAATAACACCCCTCGTGTGCCAAATCTGAGGCACAAAGTTGATTGAGGGCCCATTTAGTGCTACTTGCCCAAGGCATCGAAATTGCCAGTACTGAGCAAATGCAAAGTCTGGTTTCAGGGTAGCTCAGTATTGAAAACCCTTGTTGGCAGGTTCTCCTTGGCCATTTGTTACTCTAGCACGTGCCTCTCGACCTACTTACCACTTATTAAGAAGATATCTCCCTTTCTTGGCTTTCCCAGTTTAAATCTCAAATTTCTGCCTTGAATTTCCCATGTCTCCAGTCCAGAAAGATGAGAGAGAAATGGCATCAAAGGTGAGTGAGGAGCTCCTTTAAACACAGGCTGGTTTAAACCCATCCTTTAAACCCATCCTAACTCTCCTGGGCAGCCGGTTTCATAATCTCAAGTCACTTTCAGAGGGCTCTTATAAATTAGCTTTGTGCTATAAAATAGGAGACAGGCCTCAGTTCTGCCACCACCAACTAGTTTTGTCCCCTGAGCAAATCAAATCCCTTTACCTTTCCTAAACATGAAATGATCTGACCTCCTGTTCTTAGCTGATCCTAATGTGTCATTACTGAGTTATACAGTCACTTGAAGAAGTCTCAGGAGTTCCTGGAGAGGGGTCCTCAACTCATGGCAGTGGGGTTCTTGACAAATGTTGCAGATATGAATTTAAGGACGTGTCAGTTAGAAGCACAGAGATTTATATAGGAAAGTCATGCGTGTACATTCCAGGGAGAATGTGGGCATTTTGGGAGTGAGAGATGCTTTTGGGATTCTTGGGCTCTTCTTTGTGAGAGATGGGCATGTGAGAATGATATCAGTCTAGTGATCACAAGATAGTTTATGGTGGTCTCACAATTTCAGAATCCTTAGGCTGACATGGTCTCCATTTTCTGATCAGTGGAGAACATTGGAAAGTACCCTAGGTTACAGGTTTCTTAAAATATCGTATCTCTCTTTGTTTTATCTGTTTATTACATGTGCTAATTAACAGTGCATAAGGTAATTTTTATAAATGGGTGAATTTACAGTAAGTCTAATGCTTACAGATTCCCAGAAATTTGGGAGTGACAGGCCTGGGAGAGAGAAATGACGTGAGAAGTGACAGGTCTAAGAGGAAAAGTATGGCTTCCAGATTAAAGTTATATTTTTCTTGTCCTTCCTTTGGTCTCCTTTCTACCTTTCTTTTCTATTTCTTCTCTCCTACCTTAATATGATATTTAAAAATTAACTTCCCTGGATCTCAGTTACATATGGAGTTATACCTCCACCAGAGGACACTGGGCTAGATGATCAAAGGCCCCTGCAGTGGTAACTTTCCATGGGAAAGCTATTTAAACAGTTTCTCCATTCAGGTAAGTGTGGACAGCTTTACTCTGAGATAATGGCAGCTCATTCAAGGAGAATGGACAGCAAGCACTGGGGGAAATGGGGCTAGAGCTTACTGTGAAGTGGAAGGGTGTAGAAACAGATTTTGAGGTGAGGGTCGAGAATGAAAGAGCTCCCAAAGAGAAAGTATAAAGGCTAGAGTAAAGGGTTATGGACACTTTTAGAAGAGAATAGACAGGCTGGAAACACTGTAAAAGAAATAAGACAACCTTAACTGGTTAACAGCAGAGCTTAGGATAACTTTGGAGAGAAAATGTTTCAAGGAAAAGAGATCATTTTGAGGACTGGGGCTGTGGCTCAGTGGTAGAGCACTTGCCTAGCACATGTAAGGCACTGGGTTCAATTCTCAGCACCACATATAAATAATGAATAGAATAAAGGCCCACCAACATCTAAAAAATAATATTTCTAAAAAAGAGATCATTTTGACAACTGTTCTAAGAAGAAATTTCTTATCAACATTGGTAAATTCACTTCCCTTACTAACCTGCAGCCCTGACCAGACCTTCCTTCACTCCCTAGGCTGTGAAACTTCATGGGGGTATTGATATTCTGGTCTCCAATGCTGCTGTCAACCCTTTCTTTGGAAGCCTGATGGATGCCACTGAGGAAGTGTGGGACAAGGTGAGAGAGCATAAAGCAGCAGGGGTCAGTCAAAAAACATTTAGCTCAAACTTGGTCTTTTTTAGATGCCTTTGTCAAGTGTCACATAAGTGTGATGTGCCACACACCTGGCATGCACCTTGTAAAGGGCAAATAAGGGGGCGGCTTCCTCTATACTGTTATTCTTTTTCATTTCTGCTTTGAGGCTTTTTGGTTGTTGTTGTTTTGTTTTTCAGTCCTGTGGGCCTTATGGCAAGGCAAGAGTTCTACCACTAAGCCACACTCCCAGTTCATCTCAGTTTTATCTTCTTCCATTTGCTCTGTGCTAGCCACCTTCTCTTTCACTTCCCCAGCTCTCTCTCCAAGCATACTTAGCCACGCCCTTCTTCCTGGTTTATTTCCAGCAGAGGCACGGCAGCTAAAAGGCCAACAACTTACACACCTACCCATCTCTTTTCAGCTGCCAAAAAAGAATGCTTTTTCATTAGTTGAAAAACGTTAATAGCTGTTAGTTAAATGAAATACCTATTCTGGTGAAATGACCAGAGTTTCTGCTGTTTTATAACAGGGAAAGATCTGGAGTTTTTTTGTTTTGTTTTTTCTTCTTTAATATTTTGTCCCTTAGTTGTTGGTAGGTCTTTATTTTATTTACTTATACGAGGTGCTGAGAATTGAACCCAGTGCCTCACACATGCTAGGCAAGTGCACTTCCACTGAGCCACAGTCCCAGCCATTGTTTTTTCTTCTTAATTGCGGTATTAAGAAAATCTGAGATCCATATTTCTAAATCCAAGTGCTAGAATATTTGTTTTTATGTGAACATGTACGATTGCATCATGCTCATATTTTACACACCTACATCCTTTAATTATAAAACTTTAATTAAAATATTTATCTTAATTTACTAAGACAAACATTCCCACATGATTTGAAATGCTAAATTTCTTATGATCTCCTCTGGTTTTGTTTTTTTACTCAGATATAATTTCTCAACAGTAAAGTATAAGAAACTAAAATATTATAACTTATCAACTTTGCACACACATAAAGACCAAAGTGCGAAAATGTTCCTCAGTGAGCCAGATCCTGATGTTGATATTCTTTAAAGAAACATCTTTCATGAAGTCTAAATAGAGACCACATTAAAATCAGCTTTTAACCACATAATCTTTCTTTTTAGTTTATACATTTTTAATATAATGGTGCATCAAACCTAAATGCAATGATTGATCCTTAATTATACTCTTAATTTTTAAAAAATCTTTGTTTTATTTATTTATTTATTTTATGTGGTGCTGAGGATTGAACCCAGAGCCTCATGCATACAAGGCAAGCTCTTTACCACTGAGCCACAACCCCAGCCCCTATACTCTGAAATTTTTTAAGAAAGAAATTTGGGGCACATTTGGGAAAAGTTTATTATGGGCAATGCAATAAATGAAATGTATTATTGTTAAATTTCTCAAGTATGATCATGAATTGTGGTTGTGCAAAAGAATCTTCTTATTCTTTAGCAATGTGTGTTAAAGTATCTAGAGATAGAGCATTATCATGTCTGTAGCTTACCTTCATTGGTTCATTTTTTAAAAAAAACTATGAATACATAGAAAAGGGAAATAGAGCAAGATGTGAACAATGGGTAAATCCAGGCGAGGAACAGCTGGATATTCACTATACTTCTATTTCAACTTTTTATAAGATTGAAAATTTTCAGAATAAGAAACTGGCTTGGGGGCATAGGAGAGAAATGTCCCAGGAGTGTTTAGAACACTGTAAGCAAGATCATAATACATTTGCTTTAAATTTGGGATGTGGGTGTTTTGATTGCAGCCTGTGCTTCCCCAAAATGTACTTCCTCATGATTCCACTTTCTGATAAATGACCAGCCAGACAGTCCATCTTGGAGGGCCAAGAGCAATCCATTCCCTGCACCCAGAAGCCAGAAGAGTGCTAAAACTACCCTGTGCTGCCCACTCTAAGGCAGGTCCAGGAGGCGATCGAATTCCAGACTCTCCCTACTTTGAAGAAACATAGAAAATCCAGCTCAAATCCAAAGCAGCCTGGAGAGTTTTCACTCATTCTGAGCCAAATCACACTTGGCTAGTTAGAAAGGATTAACTCTCTCCATTCTTCCACGCTTGAACATAGCTGAATGAGCTGGTGAGAAGGACCTCCCCCTAAGCCCAAGGTTCTTCCCTTGTCAGGTCCAGGTAAATGATCCCTGAAGTCTCTACCAGCTCTAACCAGCAGAGCCAGGTGCCCACTGTGCCTGCTCATCATCTGCTCCTCCATGTCCTTCTCATGCTATCTCCCCTTCTTTCCACTTCAGGTTCTGGATGTTAATGTGAAGGCTACAGCCCTGATGACAAAGGCAGTGGTGCCAGAGATGGAGAAGCGAGGGTACCATGAGTGAGAGGGAGCCTGGGTGAGATGGGGCCCTCCACAGGCAGAGGGCAGTGGTTTCTGCCAGGAAGATGTCAGTTTTCTTTTTTTTTTCCAGAAGTGGCTCAGTGGTGATTGTGGCTTCCATAGGAGCTTTCACTCCGTTTCCTGTAAGAACCCCTTTGTCTGCCACATTCCTCCCACTCTCCATCCCAAGTCTTTCCATTACTCCAGTTCCCCTAAAGTATGTGTCCCCTTTCAGAATCATACCACCAGACCCCTTCCCACAAAATAAATGACTTGTCTCCTGAACTCTAACCTAGAGGTAGAAACAAGATGGTTTCCTCCTACCCTCCTTTACAAGAGATGCCTCATTAACTGCTGCCCTTGATGTCAAATGAGAACCAAGAATGACCTGGAAACTAAGAGACCAACCTGTTCTCTTCTCTCCCCAGGGCCTGGGTCCTTATAATGTTAGTAAAACAGCCTTGTTGGGCCTTACCAAGAACCTGGCCTTAGAGCTGGCCCCAAAGAATATTAGAGTGAATTGCCTGGCACCTGGACTCATCAGGACCAATTTCAGCAGTGTGGTAAGGAAGGGGAGCCCTGCATCTCCCTGGGACCCCTGGAAGGGCATTCATCTTTTTGGATAGGGAAACCCAGTACCTGAATCCTGAGCTATCACCCATTTCCATACCTCCTTCCTAGGCTTTTCTGTATTCCCTCTTTATACCAGCCACCTTCCCCAGACCAGAGTCCCACACACTCCTTTCCTGAGCTATAGTAATTCTGACTCTACTCACACTGTTTCATGTCTTCTGAAGTTGATGAGAACTGGTGAGACCCAGCAAGATGCCTCCCTAACTCCTGAAAAGAATGAAACAGAGAAGGGCAGTGGGGAGTTGGGAGCCAAGAAGGAACTGGAAATGAAAGGGGGCATCTCTCCATCCTTCCTCTCCACTGACATGGGAAGACAGTTTCTTTCCCTCACTGCCCCTCAGTTTCCTCTTACCATAAACAGATTTTCCTTTTTCCTGCAGTTGTGGAAAGACAAGGAAAGAGAGGACAGAATGAAAGAATTCATGCATATCAGAAGGTAAGCTGTCAAGAGGACTAGGAGGGATAAAGATGAAAAGTTCTGTCCCAAAAAAGTTCTGTCACAGCCCATAGCTTACCACCTCACTTCCATAAGGAACACGGGCATCCCCTCCTCTGCCTCCCAAACTTCTTAAGTTCATAAACTCTACTCTTGCAGTGGTCTGGCCAACAAGGCTGCTGTTTCCACTGCAAAAAAAAAAAAAAAAGGCAGAGGCATTAGGGTTTCAGCAGAGTGGAGCTCTAGGACAGGTCCTCCTCTTTACTGTCTACCTCCACCCCTGGGCATTCATGGAGACTAGAAACCAAAATCAAAACTGTGACTATTGTAGTTCTTCTTGAATAAAGAGTCACATTTCCAAAGCTCAGGTTGGTGATCCCACAATCCAAATAAAAGAAATGAAGAGCTTTACTAAGGCTCAAACTCCTCTTCCCTAGTGGGCTGGCTGAAGTATTCAGACACCTTTGTTGGGTTCCCTTTATTAAGTGACCTGCCTCTCTCCACCTTCTGGCTTCTGAGCACTCTTGTCTTTAGCATCTCCAGTTTGACCCCCTCAAGGACAAATGCTAGCAATACCTACCTCTTTACTGGTCTAAACATCCCAGAATCCCTCAAGTTTTTTAAACTTCAGTGGCTCAGGCCTATTGCCCAGAGATTCTTCTTTAATTGATCCATGGTGGTGCCTACAAATCTTTTTTCTTTCTTCATTTATTTGTTGTTGTCATTGTTTTGTTTTGCCTCCCAAATGATTGCAATGTACAGGTAGCTCAGAGAACCACAATCCAAGCCTTCTAGGTTTGAGTTACTTACTCTACCCACCTCAAGAGTATTCTACAGCAGTTTAAGTGTTTCCTAACTATGAGATCACTCATACAAACAATGAGAATTAACACATTCTTACAAAGCAAACTAGACTTTAAGGGACAAAAATAGACTTGAAAAAGTCCTGAAGACCTTATAAATAGAATCATTTTAAACCACTATTTATGTCTATATGTGAAACAAATTATTTTGAAGTGTGAAATAATTACTCACCATTTAATCAATATAACTTTGGATTTTGGTGTCCTGAGCTCTCTAAGAAACAGAATGTCTATTATTTAAATATAATGTGTAACGGTTTTTTCAGAGTATAGTTGTTACATTTATACTAAATCATAGTGGTAATTATAATTTTACAATTATGAAATGGTAACCCTATTTAATAAGCAGAAAGCTTGTACACTCTTTCTGAAAAATCAACTGGTAATTCTTCTTAAAGCAAATTTCATTTCCTGTGGGCCAGGTGAGGGGGGCCTGGCCTGTTTGATTTTTACTCCCTTCCTTGTTCTGCTGTTCTCCAGATTAGGCAAGCCTGAGGACTGTGCAGGCATCGTGTCTTTCTTGTGTTCGGAGGACGCTAGTTATATCTCTGGGGAGACAGTGGTAGTTGGAGGAGGAACCCCATCCCGCCTCTGAGGAACAGAAGGCAGCCCACTAGGCAGAGGTTAGTTCCAGCTCCTGGGGGCTATTCCAGCATTCTTCTGCTGACCTTTCCCACCTCTGCCCATCTTATTGCTCATTGCGCAAAATCTCTTTGGCCCTGTGATAAGGTCCAGCCTTGCCTGCTGTCAAGATGTGGTCTGATGAGGATTCCCACTGTTGCTGTGGTGTGGATAAGGCTTGCCGGGAAAACACTGTGAACCTGAGAAGGCTGTGTCTACCTTGACAAAGACCAACAAGTATTCCCCACCACCACTCCCCACCCTATCCCGGGAATTTGAAGGTGGGGGGGGGAAGGAACCTGGAGTGGAAGGAGCAGGGCTGGAAATTAACAACTTGCAAATGAGGTGCAAATAAAATGCATATGATCGCGTTGCTCTGAATCAGCGTGTTCATTTCTGTGCCGGGTGCTTAAGTATGGAGCTGAGCACAGAGCAGAGGTCCGGGCAGGCTAAATCTCTGCATCCTCTCAGCTCTCTTCCTGGTCTACAGGACTTGAGTGTGACGCTTGAGGGTGGAGGTGTCTGCAGAGCTGCCAGCTGGGAGGAGGTGGTTCGGAAACTCCCAGGTGCTACTCCGAGCCTCACAACCCAAGGGATGTGCCGAGGACGCTACGGGGATCCCGGAGCCTGGGCGGGCAAGCAGGGAATAGGGACGAAGTCCCCCAGATCCCGCCAGGTCCTCTCCCAGGATCGCCCTTGGTTTGGAGTTCCCTCCAGGGTCAGCAAGGACGAGCTGAATGGGTCCTGAGCTGGGGGGGGGGGAAGGGAGGGGCTCTGCAAGAATGGCCCAAGGAGGTGTACCCAGGCCCATGAACAAAGAAATTGGGGGTTCTGCCCTAGGTGCCCAGTGAGTAGGTGGTATGGAGAGCAGGAACGCTGTCCTCGGCCCGGGAGATACCCCAAACACCAGGCGACGTGCTCTGGGCCTCTCACTAGGTAGCCCGCAGGAGGGGTCGGCGCGAGCGCGCGCGGGGTCTCACGCGG